AGGACGAGGACGCTGCATAGCGCCGCCCTGGGAAGCAATCCCTCGGCGAGAGCGCGACCCCAGACGACCGAGCGCCAGGCGCCAGCTGCGCGGATGGGGCCCGCGGCGGGGCCCAGGGGGGAAAGCAGCGGACGGGCGCCCGACGGGCCCGGAGCAGAAAAAGAAAAACGCAAAAACACAAACAGAAAAGGAAAACACACACTGTGTTGAAAAATGAAAACACACTGTGTGTCTTTCTTTTTCTTTTTGTGTGCTTTTCTTTTTCTGTGGCCCGAGGCGGGCCGCCCCGGCGGCCGACCGAAGCGCGGGCGGAGAAGAGCTCGAGATGCAAGGGGCCCTGGCGCCGCAGAGCGCGACCGCGTCGCCGCCGGCGTCGAAACTTGGAGGAATGCCCCTCCTGCGCGGGCTGGGCAACAAGAGTCGCCGAACTCGCCGGCGAGGTCCTCTGGCCCTCGAGCGCTGAACCTCGCGCGACTCACGGGCCAAGGCAGCGCCGCGGCGCGCGCGGGGGCGGGGGCCCGGAATTTCCCCTGCGAGAAAGATCTGAGCGGGAGATATCTTGAGACCCAAGCCCCCTCGCGCCCGCGCACGGTGGGCCATCTTGCTCGGCCCCGCGGCGACGAGCGAGTTGTCGTCGACGACCGAACGGAGGGCGACAGCGAGGGCGCTTGACTCAAAACCTAATCGAGGGGCTCCCCAGGCAGCGACGCCGCGGCCCATGCGCCGCGAGGTGGACACTCAACTTCACGGCTGCAGGCTCTGAGGGCTCGAGTTGATGACGATCAACAAAGCTATTATCCAACGCCGAAGCCGCGCTTGTCAGCAACATTCAGGAGCCCCGCGCATAAGCGGCAACTGTGCCGAGGTAGCTTGCATCCGGACCGCGAGCTCGCAACTCCTACCGCGGACCCCGAGCGCCCGACACCTTGGCCCCTGAGCCCCCCGCGCTCTCGCCTCGGATCTGCGACTGGCTACCAGCTGCCGGGCCCCGAGCGCGTTGAAACGATGCTCCGATCGGTCGTTTTCCTCCGTCGCCCCTGCTGAGGGCGCCAGCGACAACCGCGGCCAACTGCCGAGGAAATGACGCGAGCTTTGCGCCGCGGCAGAACGGCGTTCCAAAGTTGCGAGGCCAGCGCCGGACAGCTGCGCGAGGGCGCGCGGGTGCCATCCGTGGCCCCCGCCGCCGTCCAAGCCTTCGATGTCCGACGAACGGCCCGAAGCAGGGGGGCAGGCGGCGCTGCTGGTGCGCCCCCCAAAACGAGCGACGCGAGCTGCCTTCGGAATTCATCTAAGCGGCCCGCCCCACGGGGCAAATGTTCGACCCCGAGCCCCTCCCATTTAGGCAGCGAGCCCGCGGGGATAGCGCTGGCACCGCTCGGGGCTCCTCCGCAGAACAAGTCGGGTGCTGGAGCGGCCGGCGCTCTCGAGGACCTGCGAGCAAGGCCGCGCCCTGCCTTGAGCGAGCGCTCGACAAACTCTCGCCCAGTCTTGGCGCGCCACTGCTTGGCGAAATTGACCCTGGGCCTCTTCGCCCGGCGCGCTGTCGGCGGCAGCGTCGACTCGCGGACCTAGGTCGAGCGGCGAGGACAGCTCGAGCACCCCCCGCCGAAAACGAAACGCTTCCCACTCAGGATCAAACATCGGAGGCCGTCCCACGACGACCCTCCAAGCTCCGTCTTCTGGCGAAGCTCCAGCGTGCTACCCCGGAGGATTTGGCGAAGACGAACCTGCGAACCAATTTAGCACTGGCCCCTTGGCACTGAGAACAGCACGCGTCGCGGGCGGCGTGGCTGTGGAATTCGGAGAAAGCGGCCTCGGATTGAGCGTAAAAAGCTCCGTGCGCGTTGGGCAGATTGGCCGCGCCTTGCGCGGAACTTGCAACGGTCTCCACCCTTGCCCATGCTAGACTGGCCATGTAGCAATGACGTTGTAAAAACCTGATTGGGAAGCTTGAAGCAAGGAGGCTGAAACAACGACAACGGCCTGCCAATGCTTCCCTGACGAGCCGCCCGCCGCAATCCCCCAGCATGAAATACTTTTGGATATTTGGAAGGAACCCAGCTGGAACAACAAAAAGCACTCGGAAGTACTCAAAAGCTTCCATGAACTACGGCAAGCGCATGGCCTAGAATCAACAATAGTGGCCCCCAGCGCACCAGGCCAGCCTGAAGCCGCAAAAATACCCGGCGCCATGTTCCAATCCCCGCCCAAGGCGAGTGACTGCTCAAGCGCCTTCAAGGCCTCCCCCATCAGTTTCGAGGCGAAGAAAGATTCGTCTTCCAACTCCCCGCCCGCGGAGAAGCAGATGGATCCGGCATCAGCAATTCCAGACACCAGCCCGTTGATCCACGCGAGACTACCTCGCTCGGAATGCCAGCGGCGTTTGAGGCCGGGAGCCCCTTCCAGGCCCATGCGAGGTCCAGCGGCGACCGCCTGAACTCCAAATAAGCCCCCCACCGTATCCCGAGACGGCGACGCCTAAGCCCTCCATGAGCCTACCCAAGGAACGCCCAGCGTCGGCGTGCAACTCTGGGCGCGCACGCCTTCGATAAAGACGAATGGATAGCCGGAGCGCCCGTGCTCTGAGGTACCTCCGCGCCGCACTGATGCTCGAGACCGCACGCAACGATGGTCGGCCTGAGGTCCCTGTTGACACTGCGACCCTCACGGCCGCGCGCGTCGCGCCCCCTGGGGAACACACCGCGCGCCGGCTGCTAGACCCGAGGCAACCTCGGCATCGCTGGTCCTCGAACGACTGCCAAGGCGGGGCAGGCGATGCACCCGCTGCGGCGGCCTCCGCTGCCGCTTGCTCACGAGGTCCCAAGTCTCCCAGGCCCCGAACCACCTCAGCACGCGGCTCCAGCACTTCATTGGGATGGCCTTCGACCGACATTGCTGCTGCATCAGGAAGGCCCATGCCGTCGTCGAAATCATTGGCGCCTGCATCATCCCAATCACCTCTGCCTGGGTGGCCTCTCTGCTGCTGCCGCCATATGGACAACTCGGGCCCCACTTCCTGCACAAGCCACTGCCCAGCCGCCAGTGGTGCTACCACCGTCTGCGCCTGCTTGGCAGGGGCGTTGCAAGCGGCGGTTGCTGGCACGTTGGCTGCACACCCGTTGGTGGTGTCGCGCCTCCTGGCCCCACGGGAAGCCCAACTACCGGAACGCACATGGCGCTCAAGACCTGCGGACGGCGCCCAGGGCGTGGGCGAGCTGGGCCGCGGGCCCATGTACAGGCGAGCCTGCGCTGGGACGGCCAACGCCCAGCGGCCCGCGCCGCGCCTCTCGTGCAGCTTTGCGACCCCGTCCTCGACTCCGACAACGCAAGCGATGGACTCCTGAACCGCTTGACGCGCCTTGTCGAGACGCGTGCGGGCGGACAGCAACTGGGCCAAGAGCGCGCCGACGTCCTGAAAAGGACGGCGAGCATGACTGGCTCGGCGAGACCAGTGGCTGCCACGGCGCGACGGTGAGAACAAATTGCCCCACTGAGACTGACACAATAGCAGCACGAGGGTTCTGATTGTAGGTTCGTCGAGTTGGGGTCACGAGGCGAAGCCCTCTGCGGCAAGCGCGCGCTTACCTCAGGCACCACCAGGAGGACGAGGCGCCACGACACCAAGTGCCTTGGCCTTCGCAGCCCCGCACGCGTAGCAAGGGCCACGCCACCCGTAGTTGTTATTGACTGTGGCGTATTTCACTTGCACAAGCCCAGCATAGAGGCCGCGAACGTGACCATAGCCACTGCTGGGCCCCCCCCCTGGAATTTGGGAAGTCGGCGTGGGGAGCGCAGCTCCCTATGAATCGCCTCTCGGGCAATTCGCCGAGGCCCCGCCATAGCCGACGCGGCGTACCTTGAGCCGAACCTTTCGAATACGAATAAAAGTAAGAGGCGGGAGAGGGGGGGGGCAGGATAGGAAAGTGGAACGGCATATAGCCAGAACAATACTAGTGAGAGCAGCCAGCGTAGGATAATTCATAACAGTAGATGAAGCATAAATGGCAACAACAAGGACCACTGGCGGGGGGCAACACGCACACGGAGCCCGCACTCCCCGCGGGAGACAAGGCGTGCGAGGGGCCAGGGGGCCATGCCCAGCCTGATCTCGATTACGCCCTCCTGCGCACAAACCGAATCCAGCAAACAACGAGTGCCAGAAAGCGAAACCCCTTGCAAGACAAATCAAGTCCTGTGCCCCTGGAGAAGCCCCCTGACCCCAGCGACCAACCCCGTGGGGATGACATCCAAGTTGCCTATTATCTCTCTCTCTCCTCTCTCTCTCTCTCTCTCTCTCTCTCTCTCTCTCTCTCTCTCTCTCTCTCTCTCTCTCTCTCTCTCTCTCTCTCTCTCTCTCTCTCTCTCTCTCTCTCCCTCTCCCTGACACTCCTCACTCACTATAGCCCGTTCTCTCTCGGAGTGTCCACGACCAGTTTTTCTCTACGGCCTGACGTTCCAGGCCGCTCGGCGGCGGCGATCCTTCGGAGGCGATGCGAAGCTGCATCGAGGCGCTCCCGCCCACATGGGCGCCTACACTACTTAGTGCACCAGGGGCCGTCGTAGCCTAGGCAGCTCGCGTGTCCATCGTGCGCGTCCTTGAGGTCATCCCTCCTCCTCCTCTTCTTGAGGTCTTCCCTCCTCCTCCCTCCTCCTCCCTCCTCCTCCTCCTCCTCCTCCCCCTCCTCCGCCTACTCCTCCTCCTCCTCCTCCTACCTCTCTCCCGCTCTGAGAGCGCAAAGGAATCGGGCCACGTCTAGCCCCGAAAAGCGCACGCACACATCGAACAGCTGCCATTCGTCTCTCCACGAGGCTCAAGCAGGCGCAACAGTCTGAAACCTAAAATCGCACAGCTACTTAAATTCATTGCTTTCCCCACAAGCACAACAATAACGCACGTGCACAAGCAATCCTCGACGTTCCCCCCCCATCCTCGCCCTGGTTCTGCCCCCGATCCCCTCCTCAAAAAATACAAGGACGCGAACGTCCAAACGACGTCAAATTCATTCGAACAGCTCGGGCCAGGGGCAGTGAGAGCGGCCCTTGACCTCCTTCGCCAAATATTGGATCCACACCTTCTTCAATGCAACTCGCATGGCACCAGCCTCAGTGTGCTTCGACCACGGCGCGCTCACGCGCCTGTGCGGGGGCACGTGCCCCATCCACTCACCGCGAGAGAAGCCGCGCCAGATGGAGGCACCTGGCGGCAGGTACTTCTTGGCCTCTTTCTGCGTCAGCGTAGTGGGGATCTTCTCCGTCTTCCCCGCGCCTACCTTGGGCTTCTTGCCGCCAGCCTTGGCGCGTGCGAGCTCGAGCAGCTTCGCCTCGAACTCCTCCGTGAACTCTTCGTGGGCCTTGACGCTGGTCTCCGCCGCGTGCATCTGCTGCTTCACTGTGTCATGGTCGTGCTGGTCCAAGACTTCGACGGCCGCCTCGACCTCCATCAACTCTTGGGCGAACCCCAGGTCGTTCTCATCGCACGACCAGCGCACGCACAAGAACTTCATGGCAGCCTCACTGGTGATGCCCAAGAGCGAACAGATCATCGTGTGCAGCTTGGAGAACAAAGACGCACCCTCAGGAATGGGGATCTTCAGGTAGCTGGCAATACTGCCCAAGTCCGAGGAGCTGATGTTCCAGAAACAGTTCGTCGCGGCCAGCTTCTGGATGTTGGCGACCGAACCCGTGGCGAAGATGCGCACGCCAGGCTTGTCCGCATCAACCCAACCCTGCGGCGTGTCGCGGCCCTGCCAGGCCCATGACTTAAAAGAAATCTCCCTGACCTTGAAGTCCGCCCAGTCGAACACGCCGACGTGCACGGGCTCCTGCAAGTCGAGGGCGAACTCGAAGTAAAAGTTGGGTGACCCCTCTACCGTGACCAGCTTGCCAGGCCAACACAACACGCCGCTCGTCGGCCAGTGGTACAGCGCAAGGTGCCACCACGCATCGCCACCATGATGTGGGCTCGAGAAGACGAACTTGTGCTTCAACTTGAATATGCCGCCCAGCCACGCGTCTGTGACATGGCCAAACCCTCCTTTAGCCTTCGCGTCGGAAACCATCTTGAGGTCGGCAACCGGTGTGTTCGCCAAGGTGGGGCCTGGGCTGTAGTAGTCGGTCTTCTGGGCGGTACTCACGATATCCCCGAAAGCTATCGAAGCAGATCTCTTCACTGGCTTGAAGGCTTCTAGCGGCAGAGACGCTGTCTCATCCTGAAGGGGGGTGTCGGCCTCGAGGGCCGTGAACTTCAACTGCTTGTCGATCACGCCGCAACAGATGGCCGTATGCATGGCGGTCGCTGGCCTACGAAACTTCTTGCAAGCCTTGAAGCGCGAGCATTTCTTCTGGGCGCCAATGATCTTCTCGACAGGAATCGTCTTCATGATGCCAGTGCTCCGACCTTTCATGATGTCCTTGATCGCCTGGTGCGGAAAATTGAACCCGAGCTCGCGGAACGCCAAGGTGATCTGCTTGGTCGCTGTCAGGCCGAAGACGCTGCGCTTCACGACCACGCACCGTGCACTCTGATCGCCCTTGTACGCGCAGTACTCGTTGAAGACATCGAGGTCTCGCTTGAACTCCCGCGCCGTGTTCACCCCTGTCTCTGGGTCGGCCAGGGCGCGCTGCATCTTCAAGGGCCACCCGAACAAAAACAAACACCTTCGCATCCTGGCAGCGGCAAGTGAAAGATGCGCCATGCCGTGCAGCTCGGCAAAGTCGTCCTCGACACCGACCTCACCAGGATCGGCGTCCTTGATCGCGCGCATGTTCAGAATGAAGTCGCAGCCCTCCATGCTGTGCACGTCCATCAAGCCGTTTACAATCGAAATAACATGGTCCATGAAGTCCCCTCTGATCTGATTGGTCATCCACACCTGCGTCGCCTCCGCGGTCTTCATCTCCTTCGCGCTCTTCCCCTGCCACTTCTTCGCAAAATGCATCGGGGCGAACGAGCAGGCTACTGTGCGGCGGTTCCGAGGGCATGATGTCAGCAGCACTGATATCGCCACGGCGTTTGCGTTAGCGGACCTCAACACCTTCGCGTCGATCGTCACTTTGGCGCTGCTCGTAGTGCCGCCCCCCTCCACGATCGCCCCGCCCACCTCCGCCTGCTTGACCGCTACCTTCTGGAGCTTCGCATTCGCAAGCATGTCGTGCTCCAAGGCGACGCACGTGCGCTCGAACGTGTGCCTCCACCAGTACTTGTAGTTCCTGTCGAAACCATCAGCAGCATCACAAAACCGACAGAAGTTCAAGCGCATCCCCAATGGGATGAAGCCGTTCTCCTCTTTCATGAAGTTCCAAGCCACGGCTGCATCTGGCTCGTCCCCTGTGAACTCGTAGCCGTCCCTCTTCATCTCCTGGACTATGTTATTGCAGTAGTGCTGGAAGCACGGCACCGACCTGTAGGTCTCTTCGTCGTAGATATTCCTCATGGTGTCCACGCACTCGAGGTGCCTGCATCGGTCGTCCTCCTGAGGAGAGGAGGAGAGGAGGCGAGGAGGAGAGGGAAGGTCCTCTCCCCACTCGGAGGGGGGAGGAGGGGAGGAGAGGAGGAGGAGAGGAGTAGAGGAGGAGAGGAGGAGAGGAGGAGAGGAGGAGAGAGGGAGAGGGAAGGAGAGGTGCCTGCATCGGTCGCCCTCCTGCCAGCCTCTCCCCACTCTGGAGGAGGAGGAGAGGGGGAGAGGGGGGGGGGTCCTTGTCAGGCCCGAACGGCACGCTGAAGTGGATGAAGAGGAGGATCGCGAGGTCCCACATGCCGATTTCCTTCAGGTAGACCTTGAGGTCGTTGTTCGACCCGTGGCTGAACTCATCGATCCTTGTCAGATACAACTTCCACTTGTAAAGCAAAGCGTTGCAACCTGCCATCCCGTCAGGCCCAAGGTCCATCGGCAACGACATGTGAGGCCAGTTCCGCCAATTTGCGTCGCGCCACTTGTCGGAGGCGTCGGGCCGAAGATACGAAAGGCCATCGGTCTCAGTCACATGCTTCATGGCGTTGTCGAGGGCAGTGCACCACGATGCTGCGGCAGCTCGGTGTAGCACGGCTGGCCTCCAACTCTGGCCCTTCTGGTGCCTGCCTCTCTGGAGCCACGCGCGATGGCGATTTGCCCTCATCGCCCCAGCATCCCCGCCGGTATTCTCGCTCTTCTTCCCCCCAGGCCGCGCCGATCTGATATCCTTGCCTGACGCCCACTCCAGCGCCCCAGCGCCGCTCGCCACCTGCGACGGCGCAAACGCCCGAGGCCCCGCCCCGCCTGGCACCCCCAGGCCCAGCGCCCAGTGCCCCAGCTGTGGCTGTGGTCACTTTTTGGGCCCAAAACTCAGGCGGGAGCCCCGAAAAGTGACCATAGCCACAGCTGGGGGGCGTTCGCCCGACAGGGGGGTGCGCCTGTGCAGGGGGAGGGGGGGGGGGGGGGCGGGCTCGTGCGTCTACCTGGCCTACCTGTGGCGGCCCGACGACCGCCACCCCGCTGGGGAGCGTGAACACGGAGCCGTAGAGGGGGAGGTTGCCAGGGTTGCCCTTTGGGGGGCGACTAGCTGCCAATGGCGATCTTAGCCACCGCCGCCTGCCCCCTCCCCATCCCCCCGCCGAGGCTGGCGGGACTGGCAGGCGGGCGCGGAGGGGGGGTGCGGGGGGAGGCGTCTCAGGGGTGGCCAAGATCGGCAATGCTGCTGGTCACCCCCCGTCCTTGTCGATGGCGACGTTGAGGAACATAGGCGACTTGAACGTGCCCTTCGCGCAGGCGACGTACTTCGCGAGAAAGTAGTCCACCTCGTGCCTGTCCATGTCCTGCATCGTGGACGTGCAGACGTTGATCGGGCTGAGCGTGTCCACGACGTCCTTATTCGTGATCCCGCGGAGCACCATGGCCTCTGCGGCCATGGCGAGGCCGTAGACGATCTGCGAGAAGAACTTGCTTGATCTCTTGGACACCGTGTTCGAGAACAAGTTCTCCCATGATACGAGCATGACGTCCTGGTCGGACGAGCCGGCGACACTCTCCACCATCCTGAAATACTTGGTCACAATTGAAGTCCTCCCAGATACATTGGCCAAGCTGTGCAGCGGCTTCACGTCGATACCATCGCGACGCACTCCCAGGTTGACCTGGGGAGTGCCCGTCTCTGTGGGGAACGGCCACGGTGGCGCCCAATCGGCAACGAGGTACAAAGTGATGGCGGGGGCCTTACCCTCGACCTGGCAGTTGCGCAGGAAGGTACCGATGAAGGCGTCCATCAACTCCGTCGCAGCGCGCGTGCTACTCTCCTCCTTGAAGCCCCCAGCCTCTGGCGACAAATACGCGCACCTGGCCACTGCGAAGACGAGTCCAGCCGTCGACAAAGAGCTCGAGTCGAGGCACCTCGTGCGAAACGGAAGCATCATTTTCTTGACCGCATGGGGCGCTACCACTTTGCCGTATATCATCGAGCCGAAACCGAAATTCTGCAGAAAGCTGCCGTCCCACTTATGGCCAACCCTACCCCACCACCTCGACGGGATGCCCTTGTAGGACTTGATCTTGAGGTACTTATGCAATGACATGTGGTCCCACCATATCCGCTGCCCTCCTTGGCGATGATGCTTGAAGATGAACACTTTGAACTGTGTCTCCCCGTTCCCAGAGCCGACGGCGACGTTCACCTTGCCCTTCCTGTGATCCGAGAACATGTCGTCGACGCTCTTCTGTATCGTCTTGGTGTGGGTCGGGTATACGACAGTGGCCTTGGCGAAATATTCCCAGCTACCCTTCGCACGGTACAGTCTCCACTTGAACAGGTTGTCAAGGTCAATCACATCGGCGCTACCATCAACCTTCACAACCGCGATGCTCGTGTTGTCGTCCGAGTGGACAAGCTCGGCGGCCTCCGCCTCGAACTCGTGGAACTCGTGCGTCTCGATGCTCCTCAACATCCACTTGTTATTCCCAACCTTGCGGAGGTGCACGTGGTCGCTCCAAGGAGGAGGTCCATGGGCACCTCGGTATCCTGGGCCTTCTTGATCCCGTCGACGTCGATGTCATCGACGTCCACGTGGGCTGGGGGCCCGCCGCCACCGCTGGCAGCCGCGGCCGCCGCAGACGGCATGCACGGTCCCGATGAAGAACTCGCCTCGAGACCCTGAGAATCGACTAGTGCCAAAACGGCTACGCCAGAGGAAGAGGCGAGAGGGCGGGGTGGATCACGGAGGACGACCGCAGGCGACCTGAGAACTCACACGTCGACCTCGCCTGCGCACGACAAACACCGAATCATGAAATATGCATTGCAAACAACGCAAGCCAACGGTGGAGTCACACCTGCGACGTACAAAGGACACTCTCCGAATCATTCTGACGGTTGCTGGCCACCTGGCCACTGCCGGCCTAAAAGGGGGCCAGGAGGTTAGGGGAGGAGGAGGAGGAAGAGGGGGAGGTGGAGGCCCCTCCCTATTCTACCCCTCCTCACTGCATACTGTTTCTATAGCCCTCCCACACATGCCCTCGTCCTCTCACCCAGTCCCCTTCCCCCATCCTCCGCCCCCCCCGTCCCCATGAGGTGGTGTGTCCATGAGGGCCCTCAGGGGCCGTTTCATTTTTGCAGCTCGAACGGTGCTAGGGGCACCACCCTCCTACGCACGTGTCTGGGCACGAGGTGCTCGGGGCACCGCGTGCTGGAGGCACCGCGCCTGCTACGACGGTCAGATAACCCGCATTCTGACCCAGCAGGCGGCCTCACCTGCTAGGGGCACCAACTGCTAGCGGCACCACCTGCTACGTGTGTCAACTAAAGCTGACAAGATATGACCACTACACTAGAGGTTGAGGGCAGTGCTGCAACGGATATACACAAGGTGGTTGACATGCCACTCGCACGAACTCCTCAGGTCAAAACTCAATATCACTAGTGACGAAGACGACCGACGCCACGCTCAAGCCGAGGACACCTTCGCTTCCTTCTTCAAAGCGTTGAGGTCCTTCGCCTTCTTGCGAGCCGACTCCATGGCCGTCGTCTTAGTGCGCTTCTTGGACTCCTGGAGCTCCTTCTGCGCCTCCGTGGGGCCCGAAGACGCCGAGGCAGTAGAGCCGCGCCCCTTAGCCCACGTGGTGTACCGATTCTTCACCTTGTCGCTGAGCACGTCGTCCTTGTTGGTGAAGACGGTGAAGCGGTACGGCCCAGTCTTGGTCGCCTGGAAGAACTTGTGAAGCTTGGCGCCCGAGAAGGGTTTGCACACCAAGGCCGCCTGCCAGTCGCTGTAGTTGCAGCTGATGCCGTGGACCTTCTTGACGATGTGCGTCCCCTCAGGCAGGTCCACGGTGTCGCCGTTGATGTGCTGAACCCTCTTGGCAACGTCATCGTCCTCGTCGTACAAGAAGCGGTAGCACCCCTTCACGAAGGACAACTTGCCGTCTGGCGTGATCCAAGACGAGTCCATCATCGCCCAGCGTGAACCGATATCAGTATGGCGCTCCGTCAAGACGCCGCGAGCCACCTCAAACACGCCGAACTCTGGTGGGAGGAACAAGTTATCCATCATCTGCAGGCCGAAGTGGAACGCGTCCGAGATGGCCGGGGAGTCCTTCTCCTTCGCTGTCACTAGCTGGACCACCGTCAACTTGGATTGCTCGACGATCATCTCCAACTTGTAGTCCTCTGGAATCCTGCTGATGGTCTCGGGGGGGCCATTGGGGAAGACCTCGTGGGAGAGAGCGCCCTCCAAGCACGTATCACCATCTACCTCGTCCTTGTACCTCTGGAGGTCCAGCAGCAACGACGGCGCATGGGTGTCGTCATCCAAGAGATGCTTCACCAACGCCTGGAAGGCACGGTAGCGCGCGTTCAGCTCCTGTTGCTCCTTCTTGCTGGCCACCGCCTTCGGCGGAGGAGTGAGGTCGACCAGGTTCCTCGACGAGGCGGCGGAGCCCCTGCTGGCCGTGGACTTCGGCGTGGCCACGTCCAACATCGCGCGGGAGTCCGACCTCGACAAGCCGCTGCCCGACGACGTCATGGCGAGCCTGGCCCGTGCAATCGAGGACCTAGGAGGAATGCACGGTGTGCCGAAGAATGGGCAAGCAGAAGTCGCACAAGCTCTCAACCAAAACAGGCTACGGATATTGACAAACAGCAACGTGGCAATGGGGCCCCGACAACTTTGACACGGCACCACGCAACACCGCGCAACCCGACACAATACGGCAAGTAACCGCACCGCACGGCACCCGTCGACACACCCACGATCAAATTTTGGAGGCCACCCCGCAAGCACCATCTCCACCTGGCACGACGCATCGCGAGGCGGCACGGCACTCCGAGAGGAGTCGCACGGCACGGCATGAGACGGAACAGCACGGGACGGCACGGCACGAGACCCCGTGAGACGCATCACGAAACGGCACGGCACGGCACGCATCACGAGACGGCACGGCACGGCACGGCACGAGAATCATCCAGCGATGGAACAAGAGGAGCAGGAGTAGTAGGATGGTCAATTGGGCGTTTTTGGAGGAAGAGGATGGGATAAAAGGGGAAGGGGTTGATAAATGGTTCTGGGAAACGACGACGACGAACAGGGAGGAGGAGGGTGAGGGAAAAGGTTGAAGATGGAGAAGGAATGTGAGGGGCAAGCTAAGTGCGCTCGCACCACGTCTGGCACGCTACCCCTCCGCCGAACCCTTCCAATTGCGTAACTATGCACCCCGATGCGGTTGTTCTACTGCGATGCCCTTTTTCTGCCCCCCCGCTCACGCGTCATAGTGGGTCTGCAATCGCTTGCAAAACCGATTTATGAAAGTTAACAAATCCCAGCGTGTTAAACAACGGAGTTCTATGTTTTCAAGATCTTATCTGGGAAACACGAAGGAGCAGTGGCTATGGTCACGGTCGCGTTATCGACAGCAAGTATGCTGCCACTCGTTGCTTATGTCTCCCTTTCTAAAACATACTCGGGTCGCAAGAACATTGGAACCGCTCAGTATACCTGAAGGCAAAGAAAAGGCCCCCACATGCCGCGACTCGACGGGAAGACCTTGCGAGAGAAGAGGCCTGCTGCGGGGCGGCTCGCCTCGAGCCAATATTTCGGATGCAAGCACACACGAACCGCAAGGCGACAATTTCGTAATTGAACTAGAATGGCAACGGAATGTGTCCTCCTCTTCCCCCGCCTCCTTCTCCTCCCCCTCTCCTCGTATCCGTGAGGTGTCCTGGAATCCCGCGCGAGCGGCGCAGAGGCGAACTCCCTTCCTCCATTGGGCGGTCGTGGTCTTCCAGCTCCCGCTGAGAAAGTGAGGGCCGCGTGAGAAGCTAAGACTCGAACTGACTGGGCGCACTTGCCCGCCTGGGGCATATGATCCCCAAGTCCACAAGTTGACGACCCGTCAGAGAAAAAAAAGGTTAAAACGTGAGTGGCGGCGCATGGTACCGCCCAAATGAATGAAACATCTCAGGTCGGGTATCAGCGAGATGGGCAACATGTGTTACTGTCGTTCGCATGGTTGTCGGGTCCTGGACTCTGCGGCCAACGAGCGCTGGGGATCGCCAACCAAAACAAACGGAACCTGGGACCTGATGAGCGCCCACTCGGAAATCGCAACAACCATGGGCGGCCACCAGAACATCGCAACAGCTAAGGGAATCGAGACAAACACGCACACACCTCAACCCTCAATGAAACTAAGCTAGCCTATTGCACGGCAGTCTAAGAAGGACTGACGTGTGCAACAGGAGCATGCAGCGATGTCGTTCGTGCGTGGATCTCCCTCTTCTGTTTACGCCTCGCCTCTCGCCCTTCATCGTTTTGTTTCCCAGCAGATCAGCCAACACGAGTGGGTCATCAAGGAATGCAGGGTCGGCTTGTCTATTGACCACCCCTGCCTCCAGGCTTTGTGACAAAGGCTCGCGCAAGTTGGCCAAAACTGGGAGCGAATTCGTTTCACTCTCTGGGGGAGGGGAGAAGCGGAGGAGCTTCTCTTGAGGGTGCGGCCGCGAGCATGTAAATAACTGTAGACAGTTCGCGGCATGACACACCTTCATCTTCAAACGCGCAAGCGCACTGGCAAGATCCAAGTTGCCATGGACGGATGGGATGAGGAGCGGAAGGAGCATGAAGGGAACAAGGAAGACGAAGAAAATACTTGCCCAACTGGCCCTAACTTCTGACATTCGAGAAGGCTCGTGGCAGCCGTCATTTGCGAGAGAACGCGCTTCGCGGCTTGGTTGCGAAGCATTCCGCGACACGTCGACAACCGGACCCCTCCCGAGCACCCAGCGAACCGACCCGCCCCCCCTTCAATCAGAACCCCGCCTCCCCCAAGCCCCCCCCCTCCCTCAAGGAGGAATGTCCACCCCCGCTTCCACGACGCTTTTCTTCGTCGTCGTTTCCCGTCGCCAGAGTGGGGAGGGCCATCGCTGTTGTCGCTTGCCGGCGCCAGAGGAGGGGGGGCCATCGCCCTCGTCGCCCTCGCCCCATGGCGCCAGCAAGCGACGACGACAACCAGCGCCAAGGATGGGGGGCGTTTACTGGGAGAGGGGGTCTGGATTCTGGAGGTCTGGGATGTTTTGGGGGCCGTTGAAACGTCCTTCCCCCCCAAGCGACCACAGAGCGCGCTCTTTCCCATATGTGGCATAGTTGTTCGTGGAAGCCGAAGGCGTGCTGCTCGCTGATTACACTGTGTGTCATGTTGCTTTGAGCTTGCCTGCAGCTAGCATGAGCCTGCGTCTTTGGCTGGCATGGGCTGGCTGTAGCTTGCCTTTCAGCCTTACTCCCACTGCCTTCTCCTCAACGGCAATCTGCCCCTGGCTTGACAAAATAAACTTGCCCCTTATCGCATGTACCGTACATGTAGCTTGCCTGTAATTTTCCGTGTCGTGCCTTTATCTTGTCTGTAGCTTACCAAGACCTTGCTCTGAGTTTGCTTTCAGCTTGCCTCGGGCTGCCCTTAGCTCAGCTTGCAGTTGGCGCACCGTGCGCTTGCCCGCTGGCTAGACTGTCCCATCGCCCCCGCAATTGCGGATGAGATAGAGAGAGCGGCAAGCTTGCCGGCAAACTGCGAGGCTCAGACGAAGCCTGCCGCAAGCACCAGCAACGAGCTCACCGCAGGCGCTGGATTTGCGTAAAGCAATGTGGGTGGGTCGAGGGCGGGTCGCGGCTGGGCTGGGTCGCGGAGGCTCCTGGGTGGGTCGCGCGTGGGACGCTGGCAGGTCGCGGGTGGGAATCAGGCGGGTCGCGAGCGAGGACGACGACAACAACAAATAACAAGCAACACACACACAACACACAACAAACAAACAAGCCACAACATACACATTCACAACAATCACACCAACAGCAGCAGCAGCACCAAAAACAACACCACCAACAGCAACACCAACGACAACCATAATAACACCAACAACACTAACAACAGCAACAACACAAACAACAGCAACACCATCAACATCATAACCAACAGCAACAACACCACAAACCATTATATCAGCAACAACAGCAATCACAATTCAAACAACGATAAGAACACCAACATCATTCATTGTAGGACTGAACGCTCGTATCTGCTCGAGTGTCGTTCACCATGTATATCCGAGCGCCTCGATCTCTTCGTCTTCGATCGCGACCCCCTTTGGAGTACGTCTTCCGAACCTGCCACGTGTCAGAGGCGCGACCCCTGAAACAGGAGCAGGGAGGGAGGAAGGAAAGGACAACGGAGATGGAGAAGGATAAGGGGCATAACCAGACGGGTTGGTCGGGCGGGCAAACCCTAACGGGCGTGTCGGCCAGGCGGCCCCAGACGGCCGGGTCAAGCGGGCGAGTCGTTGAGGCGCCCGTCCTGAATGATTCGCGAGGAGGTCTCGACCGATAGCGCGATTCACACATAGAGGGCGAGCGAGAGCGTGATTCCTGAGTGCCGAGGGCGGGGCGTCTCAGTAAGTTGTAAGGAAATTCCGCGCGCGAGCGCGATTCCTGCACACATTGTAAAGCAGTTCCGCACGAGGGCGCGACGTCCAACAAATTTTGAAGCATCAGGCTGGAACTGCTGTGGTGGTAGTTCGGGGGCCAACGACGCAGACTTTCCCTCGTACAAGTACAGGGTGCTAGCCCGGGGAGGGACACTGCAACCCAGAAACACAACGGGCACTGGAGGGAGGGGGAAAGGAGAATTGAATTTAACAACAACGACAAAACCAACAACAACATCAGTCATTTGAAGACTGTTCACTCTACCCTCGATACCCCCTCTCTTGGTATTTGATCTTGCCCCCTCTGGAATGTATATCTTCCGTCCTGCCACGTGTAATTGACGCAGCCCATAGAAAGGAAGGAAGGAAAAAAGAGAGAGCGAGGGGGAAGGGAGTGGAGGGACGAGAAGGAGGAGGGAAGGGGGCAAGAGGGAGGAAGGAAGATGGACGGCAAGAGGAGCTAGCAAGAGGGGATGGCAACAAGGAAGTCCCAGGCGAGAGCGCGGCTCTGGAAGTAATTACGAGGAAGTCACGAACGAGAAAGCGATTCCAAAGCGCTGAGATCGCGATTCCGGAATAAACCGTGAGGAGTAAGTCTCAGGCGAGAGCGCCAGAACTGAACCAGTTGCAAAGAAATCTCAAGCGAAAGCCCGGATTCTCTAGATTTTTGTTGGGGAAATGTCAGGCGGGAGCCGTTGTGGCTGCTGCTGTTTTAGACCGGAGGGCAAGGGGCACAGTCTGAATCTCAAGACTTCCCCTTGTAAGAAAACATAGTGCAGACACCAGGAGGGGCACATGAATTGAAAAACGCTTACTGTAGCGCGGGCATAATCAACCGTAGTTCTTGCTTAGCCATGATGACTCATCGTCAACAACAGCCTGATGTTGGTTTGCCTCCAGCTGGCGTTTGAATCATTGGTCCTGCCCATGCAGCTTGTATATGAAGTTGTGTTCTTGCTATTTCCTCGCCCTCGTTCTGAGAACTCTGCAGTGGTATTCGCCACCCCACTCGCAACGGTGTGTGTGTGTGTGTGTTTGTTTCGGGCCCTTGCTTATCTGGTGAAGCTCGCAGGCATCAGTGAGGTCCCCACGACGCATCGAGCCCAATGTAAATTCGTTCGTTGGACCACGTTCAATTCTTCTGCCCTCCGAACAGAAACCGGTGTCACAAGCAGAAGCCCAGGCGGGCACCTTCCAGGCATCGACTTCAAGGGAGGAAAAGGACCTGGCCCCCACAACTGGCGTTTACTCAACAGCCCTGGGCATTTGCTGGACAGTTCTGCCTACGTTCGACTCCTCCCACAGGTACGCTTATTTGAAGGGCTTCGTTTATGTGGTGGCCTTCTTATAGGTTGGCTCTTTTGTCCCCTGCTACCATCCCTGGGTGCCCCTCCGCCTCCCCCCCCCTCCCCCCCAGTTTTCAGGGAGGCCTCCAGAGCACTCCGCACGAGGCCCTGAGAGTCCCCAGGGCTCAAAAACTACAAAGAGCTTGGAAACACCTTGATTCATGGTCACCTCTGGCAACAACCGACAAGCCCGCTCCAATCCCACGGGCGAGGTGGCGGATTCTTGCGGCAACGCCCAGATAGCATACATTGACCAGAACTCTGGTCAGTTTTTTAGATTGCCTGCAGCTCTTCCCTCGGCGTCGGCGTCTCTCGCCAAAACAGAGTCTCCTCATTCGGGCCGCGCCGAACTAACTTGAGACGGAGTCCGGCGTGACAAGTCGCATCCCATCAACTCTGTGTAAACCGGTGCTCATCGAATCAACGTAGCAGGAAAGGTGGCGAACCGGCGGAGAGGGCGGACAGAACAGGGGAGAGCCGAACAAACTGCAATTAAAGATACACGAGCGCTGCCCTCGACTGGACGAGCCGGCCGGCTGGGACGCAATACGAGACCAGACGAAGGCTGGTCCGCTGTGGTTCAGTTCGGAGGAAGGCCAGCCGAGAGAACGGCGCCTCTCTCGACAAGCCCAAATCTGCTCAAAATCGGTCCAGGGAGCATGCCTGGGGTCCATCCGGACAAGTTTTTCCCAGCCATCCTTCGGTGTTGGGTCTCGTTTTGAAGAGACGGTCCCCGCGGTCCTCCCTCCTTCATTCCTTCCTCCCCTTCCTCCCTCCTGCTTTTCCTCCCTGCGTTTCACCCACCCAGTACAGCGCTTCGTGGCCCCATAGGGAGCTAGCTCCACCGAAGCCCCCAATGGGACCGCCCAAATGCGCCCCGAAATACAAACTTTTGCATTTTCGCCCACCCGATACTACGTTTCGTGGCCCCATGGGGAGCTCCACCGAAGCCCCCATTGGGACCGGCCGAGTGCGCCCCGAACCACCCAATGTGCAATGTGACATGTTCACCAACCCAAGCCAGCACTTCATGGCCCCATAGGGAGCTCCACCGACCCCACCGAAGCCCCCAGTGGGACCGCCCGCGTGCGTCCCACACACCCGATGTGGCATTTTCACCCACCCTATATAGCGCTTCGTGGCCCCATAGGGAGGCCCACCGAAACCCCAATCTGGACCGCCCGCATGCGTCACTCACCTAATCCCACCAGCCCTCTGGGCGTCCGTGGTTTAAGGAGTTTCCTCTTCCATCCCTCTTCCTTCCCCTTCGGGAACGGGTTGATCATTTGCCCCTATTAATATACACCCCCTCCCCCAGGCGACCTGGAGCAAACCCAGGTCCATGCGCCTCCCCCCCCACCATCCCTTGCTAAAAACAATGCAAAACACACTTTGCCCCCGCCATCCCTGGTAAACAACAGTACAAAACACACTGTCCCCAAATTCAGAGCATGCGCAGCGAACCCGGTGCGGCCTCCCCCCACCATCCCTGTCAAACGAACAATGCAGAAAACACTTGGCGGCGGCGGCGGCTGCGGCGGGGGCAGCGGCTGCGGCGACTGCGGCGGCGGCGGCGGCGGGGGCGGCGGCGGCGGCGGCGGCGGCGGTGGCGGCGCGGGCGGCGGTGGCGGCGCCAGCGGCGGCATCGGTGGCGGCAGCGGCTGCGGAGGCAGCGGCGGTGGCGATTTGGCAGAGGCGGCGGCGGCGGCGGAGGCGGGCGGCGCGGTGGCGGCGGCGGCGGCGGACAGCGGCGGCGGCGCCGGCGGCGGTGGCGGCAGCGGCGGCGGCGGCAGCGGCTGCGGCGGCGGCGATTTTGGCGGCGGCGGCGGCGGCGGCGGCGGCGGGCGGCGCGGTGGCGGCGGCGGCGGCGGACAGCGGCGGCGGCGGCGGCGGCGGCGGCGCGGCGGCGGCGGATTGGCTCCCAGTAGCTGGCCATCCAAAGACGACTGCTGCATATGCTGAGACTGGGGACAAGCTCGGGTGCTACGTATGTGTTGGGAAGGCGGGTGGGAGTGAGCGAAACTCCTTCTTGCTGGTTACTGTAACTAGTTGATAGTTGATTGACCGCGCGAGGGGGGGGAGGCCCAAACCGGCTTTTTAGCGTCCCCTGGGCGCGTTGTCTGAATTGCTGGGGGGGCTCGAAATCGCCACCCCTCACGCAGATCCGCGGGGTCAGGGTCCAAAAACATAAGGGATTTGCCACATTTCTGAAATTCGGTGCCACCCCTCACGCAGATCCGCGGGGTCAGGGTCCAAAAACACTTGGGATTTGCCACATTTCTGAAATTCGGTGCCACCCCTCACGCAGATCCGCGGGGTCAGGGTCCAAAAACACATGGGATTTGCCACATTTCTGAAATTCGGTGCCACCCCTCACACAGATCCGCGGGGTCAGGGTCCAAAAACACAGGGGGTTTGCTACATTTCTGAAATCCTGTGCCATGCGGGCGGGGAGGGAGACACTTGATTACTGTTCCCTATTAATATACACCCCCTCCCCCAGGCGACCGGGAACCAACCAGGGTCAATGCGGGCCGCCCACACCGCCATGCCTTGTAAAAGAAACAATGCCAAACACTGTCTCCAAATTCGAAACATGCGCAGCGAACCCGATGCGGCCTCCAATCCCTGTCAAACTTTCCTGGCGAAGGACCCAACCATAAGCCATTGATCGTAACGCGTTGTCGGTGCCGCTTTCGGTGGGGCTCCCTATGGGGCCACGAAGCGCTGCCTTGGGTGGGGGAACCGCATGCGAGAGCAGCCGCTGGGGCCTTCGGTGGAGCTCCCTATGGGGCCACGAAACGGTGCCCTGGGTGGGGGAAGCGCATGAGAGAGCATCCACTGGGGCCTTCGGTGGAGCTCCCTATGGGGCCACGAAACGGTGCCGTGGGCGGGGGAACCGCCACGGGGGCCTTCGGTGATGCTCCCTATGGGGCCACGAAGCGCTGCCCCGGGTGGGGGAAGCGCATGCGAGAGCAGCCACTGGGGCCTTCGGTGGAGCTCCCTATGGGACCACGAAGCGCTGCCGTGGGTGGGGGAACCGCATGCGAGAGCAGCCACTGGGGCCTTCGGTGGAGCTCCCGATGGGGCCACGAAACGTTGCCCTGGGTGGGGGAACCGCATGCGAGAGCAGCCACTGGGGCCTTCGGTGGAGCTCCCCATGGGGCCACGAAGCGCTGCCGTGGGTGGGGGAAGCGCATGCGAGAGCAGCCACTGGGGCCATCGGTGGAGCTCCCTATGGGGCCACGAAGCGTTGCCCTGGGCGGGGGAACCACATGCGAGAGCAGCCACTGGGGCCTTCGGTGGAGCTCCCTATGGGGCCACGAAGCGCTGCCCTGGGTGGGGGAACCGCCTGCGAGAGCAGCCACTGGGGCCTTCGGTGGAGGTCCCTATGGGGCCACGAAGCGCTGCCCTTGGTGGGGGAACCGCATGCGAGAGCAGCCACTGGGGCCTTCGGTGGAGCTCCCTATGGGGCCACGAAGCGCTGCCCTGGAACCGCATGCGAGAGCAGCCACTGAGGCCTTCGGTGGGAGCTCCCTTTGGGGCCACGAAGCGCTGCCGTGGGTGGGGGGAAACGCATGCGAGAGCATCTACTGGGGCGTTCGGTGGAGCTCCCTATGGGGCCACGAAACGTTGCCCTGGATGGGGGAAGCGCATGCGAGAGCATCCACTGGGGCCTTCGGTGGAGCTCCCTATGGGGCCACGAAGCGCTGCCCTGGGCGGGGGAACCGCATGCGAGAGCAGCCACTGGGGCCTTCGGTTGAACTCCCCATGGGGCCACTAAGCGCTGGGGTGGGTGGGGGAAACGCATGCGAGAGCAGCCACTGGGGCCTTCGGTGGAGCTCCCTATGGGGCCACGAAGCGGTGCCCCGGGCGGGGGAAACGCATGCGAGAGCAGCCATTGGGGCCTTCGGTGGAGCTCCCTATGGGGCCACGAAGCGCTGCCCTGGGAAGGGGAACCGCATGCGAGAGCAGCCACCGGGGCCTCCGGTGGAGCTCCTTATGGAGCCACGAACCGCTGCCTTGGGAGGGGGAAGCGCATGCGAGAGCAGCCATTGGGGCCTTCGGTGGAGTCGAGCTCCTCATGGGGGCTACGAAACGTATGGGAGGTGTGCCGAGAGCAGAGGCAAGGAGGGGGAGGAGGGAGGAGGGGGAGGAAGAGGAAGGAAGGAGGTGGGACGCCGGGCGTTGTCTCTTCAAAACGAGGACCCAACACCACAAAATGGTTGGGAAAAATTATCCTGGCGAAGGACCCGACCATAAGCAATTGTTCGTAACGCGCTGTGGGTGTCGCTTTCGGTGGGGCTCCCTATGGGGCCGCGAAGCGCTGCCTTGGGCGGGGGAACCGCATGCGAGAGTAGCCGCTGGGGCCTTCGGTGGAACTCCCTATGGGGCCACGAAACGCTGCCCTGGGCGGGGGAACTGCATGCGAGAGCAGCCATTGGGGCCTTCGGTGGAGCTCTCTATGGGGCCACGAAACGCTGCCCTGGGCGGGGGAACCGCATGCGAACTGTGCGACTGGGGCCTTCGGCGGAGCTCCCGATGGGGCCACGAAGCGTTGCCCTGGGTGGGGGAACCGTGTGCGAGAGCAGCCACTGGGGCCTTCGGTGGAGCTCACTATGGGGCCACGAAGCGCTGCCCTGGGCGGGGGGACCGCGTGCGAGAACAGCCGCTGAGGCCTTCGGTGGAGCTCTGTATGGGGCCACGAAACGCTGCCCTGAGTGGGGGAGCCGCGCATGCGAGAGCAGCCGCTGGGGCCTTCGGTGGAGCTCCCTATGGGGCCACGAAACGCTGCCCTGGGTGGGGGAACCGTATGCGAGGGCAGCCACTGGGGCCTTCGGTGGAGCTCCCTATGGGGCCACGAAGCGCATGCGAGAGCAGCCGCTGGGGCCTTCGGTGGAGCTCCCTATGGGGCCACGAAGCGCTGCCCTGGGCGGGGGAACCGCATGCGAGAGCAGCCACTGGGGCCTTCGGTGGAGCTCCCTATGGGGAAACGAAGCGCTGCCCTTGGTGGGGGAACCGCATGAGAGAACGGCCAACGGGGCCTTCGGTGGAGTCCCCCATGGGACCACGAAGCGCTGCCCTGGGTGGGGGAACCGCATGCGAGAGCAGCCACTAGGGCCTTCGGTGGATCTCCCTATGGGGTCACGAAGCGCTGCCCTGGGTGGGGGAACCGCATGCGAGAGCAGCCATTGAGGCCTTGGGTGGAGCTCCCTCTGGGGCCACGAAGCGCTGCCCTGAGTGGGGGAGCCGCGCATGCGAGAGCAGCCGCTGGGGCCTTCGGTGGAGCTCCCTATGGGGCCACGAACCGCTGCCCTGGGTGGGGGAACCGCATGCGAGAACAACCACTGGGGCCTTCGGTGGAGCTCCCTATGGGGCTACGAAGCGTGTGAGAGGTGTGCCGAAAGCAGAGTCAAGGAGGGGGAGGAGGGAGGAGGGGGAGGAGGAAGGAAGGAGGTGGGACGCGGGGCGCTGTCTCTTCAAAACGAAGACCCAACACCACAAGATGGTTGGGAACACTACAGGGTACACTTGGCGGCGGCGGCGGCTGCGGCGGCTGCGGCGGGGGCAGCAGCTGCGGCGGCGGCGGCAGCGGCTGCGGCGGCGGCGATTCGGCAACGGAAGCGGCGGCGGCGGCGGCGGCGGCTGCGATTTGGCAGCGGCGGCGGCGGCGGACGGCGGCGGCGGGCGGCGCGGCGGCGGCGGCGGCGGCGGCGGACAGCGGCGGCGGCGGCGGCGCGGCGGCGGCGTCGGCGGGAGGCGGGCGGCGGCGGCGGCGGAAGCGGCGGCGGCGGCGGATTCGCCCCCAGTAGCTGGCCATCCGAAGACGATTGCTGAATATGCTGCGTTTCGGGCCAGGCTACGTATGTGTTGGGAGGGCGGGTGGGGGTGCGCGAGACGGCTTGCGGGCGGTGAGGGAGACTCTTAAACCCTCCCCCAACCCCCTTCCCCATGGACCTGGACAAAACATTTCGCGAGGCGTCGGAGCGTCCAAGACGGCCTCGGCGAGAACGCCACAATCACTGGTTGTACTAAGGTGTTGGCCCCATTTGGGCTTCCTGAGAGGGGGCCTAATTAGACATCCCCCTCCGGTGATCGATCTTACCCAAAACTTCCCAAAGATCGCCCCCAAGGCTCCCAAGGGTGCCCCAAGAGGGCCCCAAGAGGTGGCCAGGAAGCCCCAAGAGGCCCCCATGATGCCCCCAAAAGGCTCCCATGATGCCCCCAAGAGGCCCCAAGCGGCTCCCCAGCGGCATCCAAGATGCTCCTAGAGGCCTCGGCGGGAATGCCAAATCATTGATATTACTAAATTCGCCGGCCCAACGGGCCAGGGCGTGCTAAGATCTCCGGTAACTGGTTAACAGTATTAACAGTATTTCTAGTTCGCGCGCGCGGGGCGGCCCCTGGGGGTCCCCCGGCGAAAAGTACCCCGACCAACGCCCGACCGCCGCCCGACCGCCGCCCGACCGCCGCCCGACCAAGTCTACTCAGAGATGGTTTTCCTTCTGGGTGCGGCCTCTCAGGCTCCCCAGAGCGCGCTCAGAGTGCCCCAAGAGGCCCCCAAGACTGCCCAAGAGGCCCCCGAGACGCCCAAAGAGCGCTCGAAGACGCCGAAGATGACCCCAAGACGGCCCAAAAGGCCCCCAAGACAGCCCAAGAGGCCTCCAAGACGCCCCAAGAGCCTTCCAAGAGGCCTCCGAAGAGAGCCCCAAGAGGCCAAAATCGTTGATTTTCATTGTTTTTTTCGATGTTTTTTGTGTTCTGGCTTTTTCGGCTTCCGGACGCTCCAAGACGGCCCAAGAGGCCCCCAAGACCGCTCCAAGACGGCCCACGAAGCTCCCAAGACGGCGCCGAAACGACCCAAGAGAGCCCTCAAGACGGCCCAAGTGCCGCCCAAGACGGACCAAGAGGCCCCAAGACGGGCCCAAGAGGGACTCAGGAGGGATACCGAGAACTCAAAAATGGAGCCCTCCGTCCCAGAAGGCGCCCAGGAGGTCCCAAAGAGGCCCCAAGAGGCCTCCAAGAGGCCCCAAGATGTCGCCAAGAGGCCCCAGGAGACTCCCAGGAGGCCCAAAAGAAGCCCCAGAAGGCTTCAAACATGTCTCCCAGGCGCCCCCGAACGGCCTCTCAACAGACCCCAAGAGGCCCCCCAAAGAAGCATCTTGACGACGACTCTATTTCGCCCCATCGAGAGACGACCCCCAGGGAACTGCTTCACCATCAAAACTCCCCACGCAACGCGTCCGAACGACACCCGCCCCCAAGAGCGCAACATGGGCAACGAACACACAGACAAAAACCAGCGATGCCATATCACGGGCCGGCGGAATGAGCGAAGCGATTCAATATTTAGCCACATGTTGGCCTCTTGGGGTGGCAATGGTTAAGCTGACTTCAAGAGGGTCTGGGAGAGCCCAAGATGACCTCTAATATGGCTCCAGATATCCCAAGATGTCTCATAATGGCTCCCACGATGCTCCAAGACCGCTCCAAGACGGCTCCCAGTGGCCAAAGAGCCCCTCCAGGAGGCCCCGAAGAGGCCAAAACCTGAGGAACCTCTATATGTTTGGCGTTCTCGCCTTGTCGCTTCCAATGGCCATCCGAGGCCTCAAGATGGCTCCCAGATGGCCCACACGGGCTCCAAGAAAGGTTCCAGAGAGCCCCAAGACGACCCCAAGATAAGCGCGCTCCAAGAGCGCCCCAAGAGCGCCCCAAGAGGCGATTGTTTGGGCGCCCGAGGGCAACGCTAAATAATGCTCGTTTCTTGTTTGATCGATGTTCCCCAAGATGGCCCCAAGAGCGCTCCCAGGGCTCCCAAGAGCGCTTCAAGACGGCCCCAAGAGGCGCCCAGGAGGCCCCAACAGGCGCCCAAGAGGCCTCCGAGATGCTCCCAAAGAGACCCCCAAGAGGCCCCAAGAAACTCTCCGAGGCACCCAAGACGCTCCAAGAGGCCTCCACTGGAGGACCCTTCCTCTGTGTGCTGCCCGCTTCCCTGATCGAGGCAATTCCTCTGGGCATCGTTTCTGGATGGGCTGGTGGGGTTACTTTTTTTTGGTCGCGGCCGCAGGCGAGAGCCCAAACGGCGAGTCGTAGGTCCGGGGCGCGGGCCCACTAATTGACAACAGGAGCAAACTAGAGCCGCGCAACTAAACTGCCTAAGCTGCCTAAGCGGCGCCTCAAGTGAGCTGCAAGCTGCACTGAGTGTGGATGCCAGGACCAGGGGCAGAAAGCGCAGGGCTGGTGGGGTTATGCGAAGCGTCTAGAATTTAACATTTTCACCCACCCAGTACAGCGCTTCGTCGCCCCATAGGGAGCTCCACCGAAGCCCCCAGTGGGACCGCCCGCATGCATCCCACACACCCAATTTGGCATTTTCACCCACGCAGTACAGCGATGTGTGAACCCATCGGGAGCTCCACCGACGGCCCCAGTGCTACCGCCCGCATGCATCCCCCACACCCAGTACAGCGATGAGTGGCCCCATCGGGGGCTCCACCGACGGCCCCAGTGCTACCGCCCGCATGCGTTCCCCCCACCCCGTACAACGCTTCGTGGCCCCATAGGGAGCTCCACCGACGGCCCCAGTGCTACCGCCCGCATGCGTTCCCCCCTGTCAGTGCAGCGCTTCGTGGCCCCATAGGGAGCTTCACCGAAGAAGATATTCACAATTGCCATCACCACACCTGCATATGGTTGGGTCCTTCGCAGGGGTAATTCGAGGCGGATCCAGCCGTGGCGAAAAGAGCCTACAAGAGGCCCAACAAGAACGGAAGACGCCAGGGAGGGCCGCCGTGGTTTCGACTGGCCCTCCTCCGATCAGTGGATTCAGATCTGGTCCGCTGGGCGTCGGCGGGGTTCTGCCACGCTTCGTATCTGAGCATCGTCTCTGAGCATCGCTCACCTGACCCCCAACCCATCTGGCATGGCCTGGGCCCCAGTGGCCGACTAGCCCCCCCCCTGGACGGGGATGTGTGCTGTTCGCTTCAGCTTTCGCGGGTCCAATCCCCACCGTGTGGGTGAGGGACTGAAGTGGCTGAGATACCATAGCCCAGGGGTCGAGAGCGTCCAAGAGGGGGCGTCCAGGAGAGGGGTTCGCACATCATGGACCGAGGCACGTGCGGCCCAGGGGAAGACAGGGAACGCATCGAAAAACGATACGGGGCCATGACATATGAGGATATATCGTGGCCCCGGTCATGAGATCCCCCCCTCCCCCGCCCCCCTCTTGGCCGCACCCGAAGTGAGGATGGGGTCCGGTCAGACGAGGCTGAGCTCCGTCTCAGCACAGGAGTGAGGCCGCGCTCCTGCCAACAACAAGAGCGCCGCGCTCCCGCCGCAGCTCCGCGACGTTCCGCAGGGGGAGTGGCTGGCCCTCAGAAGCACTCGAAGCACGACAGGTCCGCGGCGGGGTCGGGAGGCTCTGGGGCCTCGCAACAAAGCAGGAGCGGTGAGCATCGAATCAACACTGGTTTGGAAACAAAATCGGATCGAATCGGCTGCACCCAAATACTCTATGAAAACATAGGACCGCATCGGATCGCCGGAACATCGACATCGAATCGGATCGAGACAGGTGACATCGACACATCGAATCGGGTCGATCGGATCGAAATGAACCATGGCAGAGTGGAACGCCCAGGGTGGTGTCTGTGCGGGGGTGGGAAGCACGGACGACGAGGGGGAATCAGGCAGACTGTGATCAACGTCGGACCACCCTGCACCGACGTAAACGAAAAAAGGGGTGCCTCAAATCGTGAGTCTGCTTCCACATTACCAGACTGCATTACGTCGACTGTAACACGCTCGAGCTTGGGGTCGCGGCCCGCGACCATGCGAATCCAGCAGTACTAAAATTACCCAACCCCTTTTCCACGCGACGACAATATGTGTATCAACGCTCCGAGCAAAAAACCACATCGCCCGATATGCACGATCAGGGCTGCCCTCATCTCAGCCGTGCCTCCCAGGAGCCCACGAAAGTGGCGACAATAGCGATGGCCGTAATCTCCCAAGGAGCTGCGAAGTATCGGCTAGATCAGCGTGGCCCCCGATTCCGCTGGACCTCCGAAGAAACAACGAAAGTGGCGACAATGGCTCAATTCGCAGCCACCCAGGGAACAGCGAGGTCTCCAATGAGAGCGCGTGGCGCCCGACCACGCTGGACCTCCCAAGGGCCCACAAAAGTGGCGACAATTACGCAGCTCGCGGGGGGCAGCGAAGTCCCAAATGGGTCCGCGTGGCCCCCGACCCAACAACTGGGCAATTCGCAACAAATGGGGCTGTGATGCCTCGGGTACTCCGCTATTCCGCCGTGTCTCCAGCGAGCCCACGAAGGTGGCGACCTGGCGCAGTTCGCAGCCAGCCAGGCAGCTGCGAAGTCTCGGAGCTCTGGTATTCCGCCGTGCATCCCCGGAGCTTATGAAAATAGCGACAATTACACAACTCGCAACCATCCAAGGAGCTGCTAGGTCTCCGGTACTCCGCTACTCCGCTGTGCCTCCCAGGCGCCCGTGAAAGTGGCAACAATTGCGCAGTTCGTAACCGCCCAGGGATGCGCGATGTCTTAAGACTCCACTACTCCGCCTCTCTTCCTGGGAGGATACGCAAACCAAAAAAAAAACGAATACACAAATCGCAACCACCCGGGGGGCTGCGAGGTCTCGTGTTACTCTGCTACTCCGCCGCGCCTGCCAGTAACCCACGAAGTGGCGACCCTTGCGCAGTTCGCAACCACCCAACTACTTCGCTGTGCCTCCCAGGAGCCCGGCGACACTTGCCCAGTTCGCAGCAAGCCCCAACGCCCCGCGAAGTCTGGACGCGGTATGTTTAATGCTCATCCCCCTCCCCTCCTCGCTCCTGACCTAAGCAAGCCGCGCGACTGTGATGCTGCGGCGGCCTCTCAGAACCCGGGCGCAAGAATGCGCCCAGTCGAACCGCCCTCGCCTCCCTCCGACACAAGTCGGAAGCACCACCATGGGAGTAGGAGGCGGGATGGGTCTGCCTGGAGAAGGGCGCCCCAGAGCGAGGCTGGCCGCTGCTTCTCAGGCGCGCGCCCTTCGTCTGTCCCCCCTCTGCGGGGGCGAGAGTTCCTATGCAGACAGGTTGAAGCATCTCGGGGCGTTCGCGTTGCTGGGCGGGGTCGGTGGCCCAAACAACTGCAGTAGCGATGGTCGACGATGGAGGTCGCACTAACACTCGCAGGCGATGGACTAATGCTCACCCCCCTCCTGTCCTCGCTCTTGAGAGAGGCAAGCCGCGCGACTTTTACAAGGCCGCGCGGCAGCCAGCACCTCGGTGGTGTTGCGGCGGGCCTCTCAGAACTCGGGCGCAAGAACGCACCCAGGCGAACCGCCCTCGCTCCCCTCCGACACCAGCCGATACACCACCAACCACCTTGGGCGCAGGAGGCGGATGGGTCTGCCTGGGGCAGGGCGCCCTAGAGCGAGGCTGGCCGCTGCTTCTCAGGCGCGCGCCATTCCACGCTCCCCCAGCGCGAGCGATGTCCACGCGTCACTGAACTGGCGGAGCTCATCGGCGCCCGAGGGCCGAGGGCTCCGGCATCAGAGACGACGGCGCAGCAAAGACTTACATCAACCTCCGCTCCTTTGCACTGAGGCTGCGGCGCTCGAGCATGGCCGCGCCGCCCTGGAAGCACTTGCGAGCCGTGGGCTGGTGCCTCCAGCGGCCGCGAATACACGTCTTGAAAAGACTTCCCAGGACTTTGAAGTGGTGGGTGGCCCCTCACCGGCGTGTGGGATGCGGCGTGTACCTGTCAGGGTCAGCACCGATGCGGGTGACCAACTTCCTGAAGGCGCGGCGAAAGCCGCCAGTCCCGCGGGGGACAGGCTGGGCACCGGCAGGGCGACTTTGAAATTTGCTCAGCAAGGAGAACAACTGCCTCAAGCTCGCTTATGACGACATGCTCGGTCACCTACGTTTGTGAACCCGAAGTTAAGGTGCACGGACCACGGTCTAAATCAACGATGCATTGCCCGGTTGTCAGCATGGCCTCCACTGGGCGCAGGAGCCCGTTGAAGCACAGCAACGCCCATGCAGCCCTCGCCTTGTCTCCCTCAGAGGGAGCGACGCCTGCCATCGGCAGGGCCTGGTAAGGCAATAACGGCCGCGCACGCGAGGGGATTTCGGTCCGGGACCAGGTGCCGAACAGTCTCCACCAATCATTGAGACCTCTGCGCGAGCTCGGCACAAAATGTTGGAGCCCTTGAAGAGTGCCCCCCGACGCAGACTTTGGCTCTCCAGCCGCCCAACAAGTCTCAAGAGACTATCCTAGAATTCCGTCGGCGGCTGGGATGGAGACTGGCAGAGGCTCGCCAAGACGCAGGGGCCACAGGAGAAAGGTGCGCGTGGCCTCCAAGTACCGCTGGTCCGCGCGCGGCTGGGGCTGCAACGATCTTAGGGCCCCAGCTTCTCTTCGATCCTTTTTCCTCTCTGCTGCCTCGTTCCGCCGCCGAGCACTATGGCTGCCGCCATCTGCTCGGGGCGCCGGCTGGATTGAGCTCCGACCTTGCATATTCCCAAAACGGATGACTGGGCGTGGCAAGCAGGAGCGCGTTCCAGCGCACGAGGATCGAGCGAAGCCTCTTCGACTGCGACCTGCCCTGCAGGCGACAGCGATGGACACCTGAGAATCGCAGCAGTGCATGAATGTCGCGCCAACGTTGGCGCGGCCTCTTATCCGCCAGCAGGCGGCAGTCAAGAAGGCTTGCAGTTCCACGACATCAATGCGCGAGCCACCCTGCCTGAACCCAAGGCAGGTCTTCCACAGCCACTGATCCGCCTCAATGCCCTTCCTCGGCCAGCCCCAAGGATGAAGCAGGCCGCCCGTTGCGGCGCGCGCGTCGCTGCCCTTGAAGATGGCGTTCCGCACAAGTTACTCGCAAAGGGCGCGGTGCACTTGATCGTGAGTCGCTTCGTCGGCGGGCGCGTCCAGCAGCATTTCTAGGCGCAGATCCCCTTCCCCTCCAGGGGCGCCCCAGCCCTCGGCGACAGTTTGCGGACCTCGCAGAACCCCCGCGGCCACCGCACCTCTTCCCACGAGGAAGGCAATCGGCGGGGCCGAAAACGAGTTACCCAACAGCGCGCACTTCACGTCCTCGTCGTTCGAGCCCGACTCGGACTTGCGAATGGCCCAGCTGCAGTGGCCAAAGGAACCCGAGGCGGACTGCGCGCCCCCTGCTCGTGAGGGGGCGGAGGGCGCACTCGACGCCTGGCAGCGCTCTCTTGGAAAGAGATGCTGACGCCACGACCAAAGTGTCTCTGCGTTACTGGTGCGGCGGGTAACGGTGCCCATCTGCCTCCCGGCGCGCGCGGGATGCCTGGTCGGTCACTCCCAGTCCTGCCGGGGAAGGCGGCGGCCCCTCGCAGGGGATCGAGTGCGCAAAGGTAGCCCGCGCGCCCTTCTCACCCTGCGGACGGCGCGCGCCCAGCTCGGGCTTGTCGGCCCAACTTGGCCAGCTGCCAGTGAGCACAGCCTCGATGACCTCGCCGCGGTCCTGATACTGGAACTCCGAGGACTCGGCCCGAGCGGCCAGTTGACCCACTTGTTATTCGGCCTCTTTGAGCGGGCTGCACTAAATGGCCCAGTGCTCTACTTGCACAACGCCCAACACCTGGCTGAATCTCCCCCTGTCGGCGGGCGTCATGGAGCTGAAGTTCTCGCCGAAGGGGTGGGCCTGGGCGCGGGGGGCGGCCTCTCGCACGAGGGCGGCGACTCGCGGGATCTCCTCCACATGCCGACTGCGGTCTTCGGCCCACCGCCGCCCGAAGGTGCCGAGGCGGGCCGCTCCCTGACAGAGCGACGTTCCGAAAACGAAGAGGACGCGCAAATGTAGGGCCCTCGCCGCGATCGACCTGACGGCAGCCGGGTTGATCTGGGCGACGTCTCCGAGCTTTATCGCCGGGGGCCACGGCTGCTGGCGCACGCGACGCGCCTCGGGCCGCAGCTCGGCAGTCGCGTGCGCGGCCGCCTCGATCCCGAGCCGATCCAAGGCCATCCGACCACCTCCGGCTCAATGAGCCCTACCGCGTCTCTCGCCATGGCTCGACCTAGGCAGAGGTCCGCGATCGAGAGGGCGACGGCTTCGGGGCGAAGCTGTCTGCTCCAGCATGCGCTTCCACCAGTCTCCGACGCATCGCTGCAGGTGACCATGGGCGAGACGGGGCACCGCAGGTCGGACTGATGCAACGGGGGGGGGGCAGAGCGCCAGGAAGAACTCCGCGCGCAGCGCTGGCGACAAAAACTGCCGAGCTGGGCCTTCCCAGCTCGCGATGACCTCACAGACCCGCGCGAACACGCTGGGGCACTCCCGACGGGATCAGTCGAGGTGGCACCAGTGTGCCGTCATGACCTGCACGCCCTTCCTGCTGACCATGGAGGAACACAGGAGGTGCGCAGTCAGCTGGGCCA